CCAGATCAATGCGGAGAAAGTCAGCCTGGGCGACCGGCGCCTTCACTCGGAGTACCTGCGGGACACCACCCAGGCCCGCATCAGGGAGCTGAGGCAGAAGCAGGAGCACCAGGAGAAGCTGCTTCAGCAGCTCACACAGTCCTTGCAGGCCAAAGAGGAGGCCAGCACAGTGGAGAGCTCCGTGGCTGAGCACCTGGCCAGCTGGACGGCCATGGCCAAGGTAACGTCTAAGGCCGAAGGCCCCGCCTTCTCCTGGAAAGGGTTGCTGACACCTTCTTAGCCTCTCCTCTTTCCTCCCAGGATCTGGAGTGCCAGCAGATCACGGTGCATGGTGATGCGCTTCTCTGCTCGGCTGTCATCTCATACCTGGGTCCCTTCTCCCCACCACGGCGAAAAGAACTGCTAGAGAAGTGGCAGGCCGTGTGCGAAGGATCCCGGGTTCTCCTGGGCCCCTGTGATGTCAGCTGGCTCCTGCAGAAGGAATTGCCCTGCCCGGGCCAGGCGTCCTCTGGCCAGCCACTGCTCCCGGTGCAGAAGCCGCTGAAGGTGGCCTCTTTGCTCAGTTCGGCTCAGCAGCAGCGCCTCTGGGATCGGCTCCACAAGCCGAAGGATGCCGAGAGTCGCCTCGTCGCCATTATCATTCATTCCAGCATCCACTTGCGGACCCACCGGTGGCCTCTCTTGGTGGACCCGGACAAGCAGGCCCAAACCTGGCTGCTGATGACTTCCTCTTTGGAAGAGGGTGAGCGAAGGAGGAGAGCGGCCCCCGGGCACTGCCTTCCCGGGCTTGGCGCTCATTGGCCTCTCCCTTGCAGAGGAGTCCCAGGCCCAGGCCCTCTCTGACCTGGTGCCGGACATGGTAGAGCAAGGAGGTGGCGATGAGATCCCTGAGGACAACCTGGAAATCCTGTCCCTGACCAGCCCTGACCTTGAGCAGAGCCTCAAGGACGCCATCAAGTTTGGTGAGCGAGACCCGGGACAAGATTTATGGTGTCTGGGGCAACTTCAGCAGAGACGGACAGGGCAGCCCTGAGTGTCTTCATCTTTGTCTTCTTCTTCCAGGCAACCCTGTGCTGCTGACGGACTTTGAAAAAGACATTCCCTGGTGTTCAGCCCTCCAGCAGTTGATGGAGAAGGAATCCTTTTGGGGTTGCCCAGAGGGCAAAATTTTCTTCCCTGCCTCAGAAGAAGATGGAGTGGAAGCTGAGTGCCTGCCCATCCCACCTTCTTTTTTCTTGTACCTGTGCACGGAGCTACCTCTTAAATCCTTGGCTGCAGGTAAGAAAGAAATTGATCAAGATTTCCCAAATTGCTGCCACGAGATTTGGGTAGGTTTAGGGTGTGGATGAGAAGATGGACAGTTGTATAAAGGATTGCCCTGTTTGTTTTTATTATGGAATAATTTTTAATGTTTTTAATAGCTTGTTTTTATTGAACACTGCCCAGAGTCATACTTGTGAGTTCAGCCGCTATATAAAAGAGGTGTATGACACAAATAACTAGATGGGTGGCGGGCACGAGGCTCAGCCCACCATGAGGATGACTGTGTGGAGGGAGAAGAGCAGCTGCCCCCCCCCGAAGGGGAGTCTTCTCTTCCACTGCAAAGGTGTGGAAATATACTGTTGGAAAGGTATAATTTATTTAGAAAAACCAGACCTCCCTCCCCGAAAGGGAACATTCTTGATATAATGTTTGTATTATTCCAAGAATGATTTGATATTAAGAATGATCGATCCAGAATGATCACCTGCCCAGTATGGAATTTTGTGACCGCTTGTCTCAGAAGCATCGGTGTGAACATTAAAGGAAAAAGAAACCAGGGTGACCCAGTTGAGGCATTTTTGCAAATATCTTGCAAGTATCCAAGAAACCCACCCCTTTGGGGGGAGAGGGGGATTTTAGTTCTGAACATCAGCTGTGAATCAAGTCCGGCAGCAAGTGGGAGATTCAGTGGGTCAGTAGACTGTGTGCTTTTCCGTAAGGTGGATCGGGAAGCCTGGGACCTGCCCCTTCCCATTCCTGAGAGGGTGGAGGAAGTGAATGGGGGGGGGGGGGTTCCCTGAAGAAAAGTGGCTCCTGGGATTCCCTGTATTCCAGTAGGGCGGACTGATGGGAATCAAATTTCAACTTTTCAAGAGAATTTATTTCATAAACTGGGTGGAAAGTTGGAAATCTTTTTTCATGAATGGAAATTCTGAAGGAGAATTAGGAAATTTTGAAAAACGAGGTGAAGACCCTAAAACTAACAGTACCAAAGAGGGATGAGAGTGGAGAGCTGGTGAGCAACCCCTCCCGTCGTCCTGTTCCCCTTTGCAGAGGCCGACCATTCGCTCCTGAAGAGGCTAAACCTCATCGACCTCAGCCTCAGCCAGGGGGCCCTGGAGGACCGGCTACTGGGCGAAGTGCTGCACGTGGAGCGCCCTGAGATCCTGAAGAACCAGCAGATCTTGTATCTCGGGATCCTGCAGTTGGAAGGCAAGCTGGAAGCCACGGAGGTGATTCCCTGGATGGAAACCAATCTTTTAGACTTGTATGGCTGTCTTTCTTCAAGCACAGCGCTGTCTGGGTGACCACAACCATAAAACCACCAGGCCACCAAGCAGAAACTAAAACCCCAGCACCTTGGTCAACCTCTCCCCAGCCAGGATGCGCCAACCAGAAGCTCCCGCCATCTCCCGCCCAGCAACTGGCTTTAGAACAGGTCTTGATGGCCCTCTGGAAGGCTGAGCGGGGGGGATGGGCAGGCGGCATGGAGAAGGGATGCTTCCTAATCCCACCCTATGGCAAAGAAGGGGCCAGCCCTTTCCGATCTGGGGTCCAGCCTGGTCAGTCCTTTGGGCCAACCCCACGATGCCCTCTTCCCCATTCTGCCCACCTTCCCTGCAGGAGGAGCTGATGGACCTGATTTCGCAGCCGCAGCAGTCGCTCTTAGAGGAGGAGAACTTCATGCCGATTGTGCGGCTCCTCCAGACTCAGATCCAAGCGCTGCACGCCACGCACAAGCACATGGTCTCCCAGCACCAGGACCAGGCTGTGCTGTGTGGCAGGTATCGGCCAGTGGCCTGCCTGGCGGTGGGGCTACACGAGGCACTGCAGCAGGTGGGCCGCCTGCACCCGCTCTACCGCTTCCCTACCGAGTTCTGTGTCAACTGTGTGCGGCAAGCCCTGATCTCAGCCAAGCGCCAGGAGGCCAGCAAGCAGGAGTCCCTGGAGGCCCGGCTGCTGGAGCTCAGCAGGATAGTGCTCTGGCAGCTGCTCACCCAGGCCCTGCCCTGCCTGCAGGAGGCACACCGCCCACTCTACTTCTTCCTGGGAGCTGTGACCATGCTGAGAGTGGCGGGGGACGTCAGCCCCCTGGAGTGGCTGGCCTTCGCCCAGGGCCTGCAAGACCCGGCCGCCAAGGCCCTTCTCCTGCCCTCGGGGCCTGGCCCGGTCTGCCCTGACTGGTTGAGTGCAGAGGCTTGGGAGGAATGCGCCTTGCTGGAGAACCTTCCTGGCTTCCATGGACTGCTGGCCTCTCTGGCCGAGAAGGCGGTGCAGTGGCAGGAGTACTTCTCTCTGCCCTCCACGGTGGTGGGACCGGCTCTGTGCCCCAGCCATGTGCACCTCAGCCCTTTCCAGCGTGCCATCCTTTGGCGCATTCTGTGTCCCAGGGCCATGTGCCAGGTGATCTCCGATCTTACCACCTGCTTGTTGGGCTGGTCTTTCACTGAAAAAATGGCAGCTGTCAATCCCTACTCCTATAGCCGCGCCAACAAGCCAATCATCTTGGTCACGGCCCCGGCCGGATCGCAGGTTTCCTTTACGCATCCTTTGCTCTGGATCCAGCAGATGGCAGCCCAGCGGGGACGGAGGGTGAGTGGGGTCTGGCAGGAAAGAGAGGGAAGAGGCGGGCAGACCTGAAGGGGTCTCCACACCCCTCACTGACAGCTCTGCCCTGCAGGGGAGAGTGGTCGTCATCTCCTTTGGAACCCCAGATGCCTCCCGGCGTGTCCAGCGAACGCTGTCCTTTTGCACCAAGAAGGGGAAGTGGCTGGTCCTGGACAACTGCCAGCTGCTAAAGAGCTGGGATCCTGAGGTTCTGCTGCAACTGGAGCTGGTACTGACCACCCCAGCAGGTCAGAGGCAGGAAGGGCTGGGGAAGTTTGTTTCTGGCGAGTACAGAAGGACCCTTCCTTACTCTTATCTTTTCCGGTGCAGGACTGAGCAAAGGGGGGCCCTTGGATATCCACCCCAAGTTCCGGCTCTGGCTCATCACGACGCTCGATGCCCCTGACTCTGTGCCAGGTACAGCTGTTCTCCTGAAGGGCCCAGGGCAAGAGGGGCTCCCCCAGAGATGAAAGGGGAAAGGATGTGGACCGCAAGGAGCCGAGCCCTTCTGTTCACCCGTGTGCCCAGGGCCCGTGCATCGCAGTGCCACCACCTTCTTCTGCGAGATGCCCCTGGAGCTGAAAGGCATCCTGGCTCACACTCACCAGTGGCTGCAGGGACAGGTCCAGAACCTGGACACGGAGAAGCGACTCTCGTTGCTTGTCCTCCATGGGGTCCTGCTGTACCGGCAGAACTACGCCCCGTGGACACAGGCTGCCTCCTATCTCTGGTGAGTCGGGGAGTAGGAATGGGGAGGGAGATCTGGATGGGATTCTCCCACCTGCCACATGGCAGGAAGGCCACAGCTGTGGTGCTCAGAGCGGCTCAAGTCTCTAATGCGTCCCTAATGGCGGCTGGGGGCGGGGGGGGGGAGGAGGCTGGTTCCTCTCCTCCCTAGGATTATTGAAGAGCAGAGAGGCAGGAGAGCCGTGTCTGGTGGCTGCTGGCCAAGGAGCAGGGCACCAAGGGCTCAGAAGGGAGGCGGGCAGGAACCCCCCCCATCCTTCAAGGCTGGCCAAGAGGGTCTTGCGGAGGGATGGGGGCTGGTAGCATCCTAGAAAGGCTTCTCCTCTTGCAGCCCTGCTCAATCTGAGGTTGCACCCAGAATGGCTTTGTTCCACCCAGAATGATACTTTTAAAAACAGCTTTTAATTTGTAACCTAGCAGCACAATCGCCGTCTCTGATTTTAAAGCTACAAACAGTTGGACTTGAAGGGAAGCTCGGGAGGCCTCTAAGCCAGCCTCCTGCTCTGTGCAGGACCATCTTCTTCTTTGGAATATCCTGATGTCCATCTAACCTGAATCCACTTTCCTCATTTCCAAGCTCTGGGTTCAGGTCCTGCCTTTGGAGGCAATGGAGAACAAGCCTCTTCCGCCTTCTATGTGTTAAAGATGTTTGAAGAGCATTTGCACACAGCCCCTGGGCTTCCTTTTCTTCAGGCTAAGACTATCCCACCACTCTGGGGCCCGGTCACCATCCCCTGGTCTGGCAGCGCCCTTGCTTGGCTGGGCTGCCCAGAACTAATCCGAGGAGCCCCTCTTCAGAAGGGAAGCCGGGTCAAGCGGGGGTCTGGATTCATCCAGTGGCAGCAAACTACCCTCGACTCGGGGGTCATCACCCTGTGCATTTTCGAAGGCTCAGGAAGCTACTTGTTAAGAAAAGGTTCCTGCAAGGCCCCCTGCCCGTCTCTTTTCTGCCACACCCCAGGAAAAGCCACCCTGGACACCCCAGCTGTGTCTCCCCTTATGCCTTAGTCTCTCAGGCTCTTCCCTCAAATACTCACAGAACTGCAGGCTTCTGCAGATCACAGAGGAAAACTGCACCAGGACATCCAACTCCTACAGGAAGTGCTTATTTAGTGACTGCCTCGTCTAATTAGGGATTGTTCGCTTACAATGGCAATCAAAAAATGACTTTGCAAGCAGTTCTCGCATTTATGACCTCTGCAGGTCTACAAAACAGGAAGGTTGAAATAAGGTCAACAAGGGAGTGTCATGGTTTCAATTAGCCACAGCTTCACTTAATGACGGGTCCCAGTTGTGGCTGCTGACATCCTTCAAAACCCCTTTCAACCACTGTTCAGTCCTGCCTAAATCCCTTCACCTTGTTTGCCTCTGCATAGGGATCTTTCACAGGGCCAGTCCCACGGCCTCCAGCCCACCAGGAGCCGGCCAGGGGGAGGGGCGGGGAGCTTTTCTGATTCTCCAGCTGCAGAGCATTAAGTAGCCCCACAGAAACTGACACCCCCAAAGTCCACATCTAGGCTGAGGAGGGCGAGTGGTTTGGGGTGCAAAGCCAGTACTGGCTCCAGGTGGGAGGAAGAGCAGCTGGGCCTGGTTCTAGATTGGCCACTGCACCAAATCCCTGGCCCCATGGCCTCTAACCCCATGTGCAAATAAGGGCCTCCCTCCCCTTTTTCCACAAGCAAAGCCCTCCAAGAGCCCTGAGGCCACTTCCTGAGAGGAGTAAGGCCTGACAGGGATCTCCCCCTCCCCAAGGCCTCTCCCCCCCCCCTCCTTCAGTGCTGCTGGCTCCTCTTTCTCCTTGGCCGCCTAGCATTGCCAGGGGTCCCTGCTGTTCTGTCCCACCAGGAGTCACGGGGAGGTCTTGGCAGGCCTCAAGGCTCTTGAGAAGCTGAGCTGGATGACAGACCCCTCTGAGGAAGCGCAGCTGCAGCTGGCAGGTAGGAAGGAGCCCCCTTTGGGGACGACCAGCCAAGCCCACCCCAGCCCATCCAAAGAGGGGGCTGCACCTTCCTTCCCTTTTTCCCCACAGGGACCATCCTATACGGAGGCCATGTTCTGGATGAGGGGGATGCACAAGCAGTGGAGAGCTTGTGCCAGCAGTGCTTGGCTCCCACTTCCCACCTGCTGCCTGGCTCCGGCCTTCAGAGGCTCCTTGCTGCGGTCATTGGCCACACAAGCCCAGGTAAGAGGTGGCCGTGCAGAGCCTCGCCCCCAGAAGGCAGACTGGCTCAGCTCTGATCTGCTCCTTCTCCCCACAAGGGCTCTTTGAAGACGAGGCCTCGGCAGCCACCCAGGGGCGGATACAGCAGCTGCCCAGCCCCATGGATCCTACCTGGGTAGGCCTTTGTGGCAGCCTGCAGACCCAAATGCTGGCCGGCCGCAGTCAAGCCCTGCTCTCAGCCCTGAAGGCGTCCCAGGGCCTTTGGCCTCGCTGGACCTGCCAGCTCCCGACAACGCTGGAGCAGCTGGTCAAGCAAGGCCTGGAGGTGGTGCAGGAGCTGCAGAAGCAGCTGGAGCAATGTGGCTGGGAGGTGGGAGCCCGAGGACGCCCCCCTCCTGGGCAGCTGCGCCCCAAGCCCCGTCCCCTGCAGCGCTTCCTGCTGGAGGAGGCAGGCGCCTTCCTGGCTGTGCTGGAGCAGGTGGGCAGGGACTTGGCCTGCACCCAGCAGTGCCTACAGGGGCTGCCCTGTTCCTCCCCCCGCTGCATCGCTCTCCTCCAGGCCCTGCAGCGGCAGCAGCTACCCCGCCACTGGCTGTCCTACATTCCCACCGGCCCCGAGTCCTTGCAGGCCTGGCTCAGGACGCTCCAGAGGCGGGGTGAGCTTCTGTGCCGCTACCTGCACTCCATTGGGGGAGAGCCAGTGGTCTGCTACCAGCTGGCAGCCTTCCAGCAGCCACAGCGCCTCTTCCTGGCCCTGCTCCAAGAGACAGCCCGGGCAGAGAAGCAAGAGCTGGAGAGCTTCCGCCTGTACCAGCAGGTGAGGGTGACCTCTGTGGGCGGGGGTGGGGAGGGGCAGGCCCAGGACCTCGGCTGTGAACTCCTCCCCTTGGTTTTGTAGGTGTTGCCCAGCCTGCTGCCTCCCAGCATTGCCCCCGAGAAGGGCCTCTACCTGGGTGGCCTAGAAGTCTACCATGCTGCTTGGAATGCCCACAGCGGCCACCTCCAGGAGAGCCTCTCGGCACAAGCCTGCCAGCTGCCTCCAGTTTGGGTGCAAGCCAGCCAGGAGCCCTGGGCAGCAGCCTCTGCCCCCAAATATCAATGCCCTGTGTACTTGGGGACCCCCCAGGCAGCCCTGGATCTCCGCAGTCAGCGGGTTGTCATGCACCTGCCTCTCCCTTCCAAGATATCACCTGAATTGTGCACCCAGCAGCGGGTTCACGCCATCAGCATTCTGCAGTGAGAGGCCACCGCAAGAGCTGAACCATGGGAGAAACCCTGGGTCAAGCTGTCTCAACCCTCCCTCCTTGTAGGCAGAGATCGCCACCGTAACTACAGAAATAAAACCATATATTATGAGTGTGTACAAAACAGTCCCCCGGTGCTCTCCCACTTTACCAGCCATGGAGGTCCCCTGCTTCAGTTATAAATAAGATGACCTCGAACACCCCCACCCCGTCCCCCAGTGGGGCCACCCGGCCCGCAGGCTCCCCAAGCAGTCCAGTCCCTCATTTCAGGTCCACATCAAAGTCCAGCACCAGCAGCTTGGTTTCTTCAGTGCCGTTGCGGCTGCCCACAGCACACACAAGCTTGGTGTTGGAGGCACGGATGCGCCAGACAACCCCCCCACTGCCCCCACTTTCCAGAGCAACCAGGTTGCGCACAAATTCCCCCGTCTTGAGATCCCACAGCTTGACTGTGCCGTCGTCAGAGCTGGTCACGACAAACTTGGAACTGAACTGGAGGCAGGTGACTGCGCTCTGGTGCTTACTGGGCCCTGCAAAAGGGGAGGGGGGAAGGTGGGACGGTGCATCTGTCATTCTTCCAAGTGAAGCCATCCCTCCCCATTGTCCCACTTCCTCCACGTCCAGCCGCCGGAGCTCCTTCCAGGCATGGCACGCAGCCCTCCCTTTACAAGAGCAGCAGCAGCTGATGCAACCAGACCTGGCCCTCCCTGGCAGTTTCCCCAAAGCAGCCTGGCAGAGAGGCCACTGCCATGCTCAGCTCTTGGGCCCACCTTCCATCAGGTTGGACGCTGCAGGTGAGAGCAGGCTTCCTACATACCTTGAGATTACCCCTGAGGCCAATAATGGCAGAGCTCATTTCTGGAGACGCTTGCTCTGCCAATCTCAGCCCCCTGCCACTCTTACCTTGGAGGGTCTGCAAGCACTGTCCCGTTTTGATATCCCAAATTTTCACAGTGGAGTCAGCATTGCCAGAGACGAGGATATTTTCCCGCAATTCCATGCCGCTGGTGAGGGACTGGTGCCCCATCAGGGTGTGCAAGCAGTTGCCGCTCTCGGCATCCCATACGCGGATTGAGGTGTCAAGGGAGCCACTCACAATGTGGGTGCCATCGAACTGCCCAATGGTAAGAGACAAAGTTGCAAATGAGCAGCTCTGGAGAGTTGGGCTGGACACCTCCCCACCCCCTCCAAAGTCCTTTCCAGCTATGACTCTCCCAAGCCCAAGGAGAGAGCCTCACCTGCAGGGAATAGACGCGGTTGGTGTGGCCTTGTAAAGTGTGGGTGCAGCTCTCTGTCTCCGGATCCCAGACTTTTACTGTGTAGTCGTAGGCACCGCTCACCACCTTATATCCATCGTACTGGACGCAGCGCACAGCAGCCACATGTCCCATTAGCACATGTAGGCACTGCCCGGTCTCTATATCCCAAAGACGGAGAGTGGCATCCCGGGAGCCACTCACCACCCTGCCAAGGGAAGGGAAGTAGCCTCAGCCTCAGGTTTGACACCACAGGAAACCCAAGCCGGCTTTCCGGACACCCCTCTCCTACCCCAGGCTCCTCTACCTAGTGTCATGAAGATGCATGCAACGCACAGTAGAGGTGTGACCATAGAGTGTGTGCACGCATTCGCCTGTGTCTGCATTCCACACTTTCAAGGTCCGGTCTGTAGAGCCACTGATGATAATATTGTCCCTCATCTGGGAGGACCAAACGCCACCAGTGTGTCCAACCAGAGTCTGCACACACTGTGGGAGAAGCAGAAGTTCAGAAAGGCCAGGCAGGGCAAAGAAGGCATCCCCCGCAAGAGAACCTGAACTGGGGCTCACCTCACCGGTGATGGCAGACCAAACCTTGAGCGTGTTGTCATCTGAGCCACTGACAATGCGGTTGCCACAGAACTGGAGACAGGTGATGACGTGGTCATCGTGACCTTTCAGGACCTGCTCCGGGCACAGAACAAACAAGTGAGCTGCAGCCCCAACAAAGGAGAGTCTTCTTCCAGGAGAGCTCAATTTAAGCTCTGCAGCTTGGAGCAAGCCCCAGGATCAATGGCCGTAAGCACAGAGCCCGCAGCGGGGTTTCCAATCTTTAAATGTGGACAAATGAGATATCCATAGGTGAGCAACCTTCTCTCTTCGCTTGCCCCACTTCTGGATCCTCCTCACTGGCAGCTCCTCTTCCTGAGTACGCGAGGGGCATTGAGACCAGTTCAGAGACCACATTCCTACTGTGGTTACTGCAGAGACAGGCAAGGCTCTTGCCTTGCAGTCCATCCCGCCCCACTCCCAACCTTCACATTCCCGAGGGTAGATTCAGAGCAAGCAAGATGAAAAAGGAGGCTATCAGATGAAAGCAATCTTGGAGGGGGGGGGATGCTCTGCATACCTTGGGGGGCCGGGCATCTCCATTGCGCCAGTTCATATCAATGCGATGCTGCCGTAGAAAGGCCAGCTTCCAAGGGCTGTACATGAAGCCCGGGCTCAGCAGCCGACGCTTACGCAGGCTCAGTGGCTCCTCAATACCTGCAGAGGGACCGGGGGGGGGGAGGGCATCGTCAGAGCAAGGACGGCCAGGGGGAGCCCGACCTACACCAACCAGGCAAAGCAAGGGTGGAAGCTGGACCTCACCTCCATCACGGCACTTCTCCCGCCAGAGCAGGTTGTCTTCAGCCAGAATGCGCCAGTAGCGACACGTCTGCGCAGCTCGGAGCAGGTCCCGAGGTTCCAGGAAGGAGAGGACATAGAGAGCCAGCTGGAAGGGAAAGGAGAGCTGCGACTTGGGGGCTGTTCAAAGCCCAGATGGTGTCCTCAGGCCATGTGCCACCCGGAGCCCACCAAGCAACTTCTTCCCTCCTTTGGACAGGACCATTGTCCAGCTAGATGCCGTGCCCATAATCGTAACTGCTCAAGGGCACTGACATGTAGCACCCCCACGTTTCTTCTCTGGCAACCTTTCCAGGTGGCTCTGCAAAGCTGGACAGACTCATCCACGCCCTCTGAAGGTCTGCTGCGTGCCCCAGGACCTGGCCAGGAACAGAGCCCAGCCTCCCATCTGGACCTGCCCCACTGCAACTGTCTCGGCCTCCTTGCTTCTAATACATTAAGCTTTTGCCACCTTCAGGCTCCACCTCACAAGCCCTCTTTGCTACCATCCCAGAAGGCAGAAGTCCTGGGTTCCGTGGCCCTCTCCGATTTCCTTGTGTCCGTTGTATGAGTAGCACAAGAGAAGCTCTACTTTCATCTTCCCTCGGACTTTATTCTTTTTCTAGTTACGTTCTTTTGTAACTGAAAGAAACTCTCTAACGACGTCATTCACGCTTACGCTTCTGTAAAAAGACTTGTTTTGTGCCCCTCTCAGCTATGTCACACCTGGCACTGTGTGAGGCCTCCTTCCAAACAGGCCACCCACCTCCTTCGGCAGAAGTGAGATGAAGTCACGCTGGAACTGGGGCTCAATCACTTGCATCATGTGCTTAATCTGAGGGGGCTCACAGCGGTCAATGAGCTCATCCAGGGCCAGCAGCTTCTCCGGGCCACTCCAGCGCTGACAGGAAGCCAAAGAAGGTACGCGGAGGAGTAGAAAAAGGACAAAGAGGAACAAGCTTGATTTCTCATCCATTTCTACAAACAGTAGCAACAGCTAAAAATGTTTTATGCTCATTGCATCTACAGCATGTGCCGCAAACACCCCATAGAAAGAAAATAGACCACCGACAGCCAGGGCCTCAACCCAGAAAGCCCATCCTTCCAAACCCCCAAACCTCTGATGGGCCTCCTTGGCTAGAAGTCCTCAGCCTGCCATTTGCACACCTGGAAAGTGCGTAACCAGTCCTGCAGCTCAGGGGGCGGAGCCACGGGAGGGATGTGCCGGCATCGCACCTGGCCAGCCTTGGCATTCCGAAGATCCCCAAAAGTGGCCGTAGGCCGTGCTATGCAGGGACCCAGCACCCTGAGGAAAGAGCAAAGTCAGCCACTTTCCCTAGCAAACGCCCCAACACCCTCCCCCCATCATACCCACCCACCCAGGGGCCTTACCTGCCCGGCTCGGAACTTTTGCAGAGCTTCTTCCCTGGGGACTGGGTTTTGCTCTCGGGACCCCCGGCCTCCGACTTACGCTTCATCTGCAGCAGGAGAGACCAGGACATCAGCAGCCCCAGCCACCTGGGGGCTCAGACCCGACCGGATCCCTCCCGAAATAAGCAGGCTCCGCGGCCACGCCCCGCCTCCCATCAAATCAAGCTCCTGCAGAATCTGCAAAGTCGCAAAACCTCGAAGCCGGCTGCGGAGTGGGAAGCCTGCCCGGCGGGCTCCTCGCAGCCCCGGCCCGTCTTCCCTACCTTGGGCCGGGAGTGCTGGAGGAGCCCCCCGCCTTCCGTCCGCTCCACATAGTCGATCCAGCGCTCGTCCACCGTGTAGTAGAAATAACCGTCCCCGCCCGCCTCGTCGCTGCTCTCGCTCTCCTCCTCCGACTCGCCGCTGCCTCGCGGGGAACCGGGTCGGCCGCCGCGTTCAGGACTGCGTTCCGGCCCTCCGGGGCTGCGGACAGCGGCGACTTCTCCGCGCGGTCCTCCTGCTCCGCCGCCGCCATCCTGCGAAGGGGAAGCGAGGCTGCGCGCCCCCGCGGCCTCCCTGCCAGCGCGCGGAGAGCCTTGGGCGCCGTCGGGAGTCTCCGGGCGGTGCGAGCAGGTCACGCGCTGACGGTTCACCTCCAGGGTCCGGGCGGTGATGCCCTTGACGCGCAGCAGGTCCTCCAGGCGGCCAAAGCCCCTCAGCTCCTGCGCGGGCCGGGAGACGGTCAGGCGGGCGCCCGCGGGACCTCCGCCCCGAAGCAGCCGCCGCCGCCGCCGCCGCCGCCACCCCCCGAGTCGCCGCTCACCTCCCTCTTGCGCACGATCCCTCGCGCTCGGCGGCGTCCGATCCCGACCAACGCGCGCTCCAGCTCCGCCGCGCCGGCCCGGTTGACGTCTATCCTGCCACCCCCGGACCCGGACCCGGACCCCGACATCGCCACCGCCGCGCTCGGCCCGCCGCCGCGCGCCTGCGCAAACCACCCGCCCCGCCCACATTTCCCAGAGAGCCACACAAGAGCCGCTACTCGCCAGCAAGACGGGCCTTTATTGGTCGGGAGGGAGCCCCGACGTCACCGGCGCTTGTACAGGCAGGGCCGCAGTGCCAGTCCGCGCGGCTCCTCGGCCGCTTTCGCCGCTTCCGCCCGGTCGCACTTGCGCAGCTCGAAGGTGTAGAAGTGGCTGCCCGAAACATCCTGCGGAGGGAGAGGCAGTTGGAGGGGTCCGCGGCAGCCCGGCCCCGCCCCGCCCCGCCCCGCCCGCCTACCTTGGAGGTCAGCCGGAAGCCCAGCCGGGCCAGCGCCCCCAGGAAGGCCCGTAGGTCCGCGAAGCGGCTCGCCACCTCGGCCACCAGCAGGGTCCCCCTGCGGCGGAGAGAAAGAGCGCGAGTGTTCTCCCGGCCGGCCTCGGGAGTCAGCCCAGCGGCCGCCCCCGCGCCCCCCCTTCCCTTACCCCGCTCGCAGGACGCGGTGAGCCTCTTGCAGGATCTCGCGCAGGTTGGTGCCCATCAGCGCCAGGCAGAAAACGGCCACGTCCACGGAGGCGTCCTCCAGCGGCACCTGTGGGCGACAAGAACAGCTGTCCGGCGAGGCGAGCCGGCGGGAGGGAGCGTGTGGAGCCGGCCCGGCTGGCCTACCTGTGCCATGTCGCAGACGGTCACACGCGGGTCCAGGGCCGCCAGGTCGAAGCAGTGCACCCGGTTGGGCAGGCTGCGAGCCAGGGTGCAATCCCCGCAGCCAAAGTCAGCTACAACCAGGGAGGCCGGTCTGCGGGGTGGAGACGGCAAGTTATCACCGGCAGAACAGCCTCCCCACACCCGGTATACAGCCTGGCCACCAGTTTTGAATCTGGGGAGGCCGATGTAAAGAAGCCCCCCCTCGCTCAGAAGAAAGCCTGCCACATGGAAGGGGGGAGGGACAGTAGCAGGCTTATTTTCTTTTGCTTAGATTAAGAGGAGTTCCTTCGATCAACAAAAAATAATTTCCTGTATCCTAATAAACCCGCTTGCCTCACAGGCTCCTTTACGTTCTCTTGTGTGTTTGTTCCCTGGCACAGGGAAGCCCTTCCAGCAGGCGTACCAAGGGACAAAGGCTGTTTTGTAACATTTGCCAAAAAGTTAACAGCAGGAGAGAGCAGTCACACAGAAAATACTGTGGCCGCAAATTCAACTAGAAAATAAACTTGTTGAGCCCCAAAAGAGAACTGGACCAAAGCCCATATCTCGAGCCACAGCATGGCCCAGAGCTCATAGATCACAACAGCAGTCCAGGGAGCCCCCCCCCATCCTCCGCACTGGACTGAGCTCACTCTGACCTATGTTGAAGATAGTGCACAAAGCGCTCCACCGGTCGCTCGGGCCAGCGGGCCGCCTGCAAGGCAAAACCTCGGTGGTAGACAGCTAAAGCCTCGGGGTCTTCCTGGAAAAGCTGGGCTGCCTCTCGGCTGGAACATGTGTACAGCAGCTGGTTGATGTAGCGGAAGCGAGCAGCATCCAGGCGGCTCTCCAGGCGCTGCCGCAGGGACGGTGTCTGCCTGTCAGGCACCTCAGTACCCGGGGTCAGGCCTCTCTGGTCATCCGGAGGGTTGTCTGACACGGAAGATGCCAGAAGCCGGCCACTGGAGGCCTTGAACTTGTTGTTCTGCCGCCGCTTGTTCTTCTGCCGGTTTCTCCACTGTTTCCTAGTCAGCTGCTGCCTCAGCTCCTGGGCTCCCCTGCTGGACGCTGGGCTGCCCTCCTTCGCTGCCACTTCACCTAGACAGAAGCCCTTCGTATGAGGCCCACGAGGACTGAGAGGCTGGTCCACCAGAACCATCCCTGCCCCGGCGCACAGGCGAGATCTCGATTGATTGATTTTTTTTTTTTTTGAGTGGCGGGGAGCGGACCCTCCTTGCATCCAGGCCGGGTGGGGTCCTGTCCTCTCAGCCCGCTCGCTAGTTACCGCCGGATCCCCGGCCGCGTAGCCTGGCTCCTCCGAGCGGATCACTGCGCCCAGTCCCCGAGGAGGCTCCCCCGATGGCGGCGCGGCTCCGGACGGCAAACCGATTCTCGCAGCTGGTCGGGGCGGCTCGGCTTTCCCTCGGGGCGCAGGCAGCGCTCTTGGCTGAGGCGATCCGCTCCTCTCGGAGCCTCGCTTGAGGCGCAGACTCCCGTACCTGGCACTCTCCGGCCGCTGCGCTTCTCGCCGGGCCCTGGCGCACAACGGCGGCTCTCCCGGTGGCCGCCCGCGCTCTCGGCCGCCTCGTCTCCGCGCCGCCCGCCGCCCGGAACTCTCTTGCCCGGCTCCGAGGCCGCAAGGCTGCACAGGGCCTCAGGCCGTGGCCGCCGGCCCAGGGCGGCCCGGAGACGCTGCCGGCAGAGCAGCGACGGTCGTCCCGCGCAGGAACCCGCCGCCGGAGTCCTCCGCGCCGGCATCCTCGCCGCGGCCGCCGGAACCCGCGCGCCGGAACTTGCGCAACGCCCAGCGCCGCGGAGAGGCCCGCGCGCTCCCCCTGGTGGCCGGATGGCGGCGCCGCGCCCGGTTGGCCCCTGCCGCCAGCTGGCGGGGCGGGGCGGGGCGGGGCGAACGGCGCGGAGCGGCCACACCCGGAGCGCGCGGGGAAGGCGGCGGCCGAGGGCGCGGGGCGATGGACGACATCTTCACGCAGTGCCGCGAGGGCAACGCGGTGGCCGTCCGTCTCTGGCTGGACAACACCGAGAACGACCTCAACCAGGGGTGAGCGGGCGGGCGGGCGGCGGGCGGGGGCCGCTTAGGAGGCAGCCGGGGCCGGCGGTGCTTTCCGGCCGCGCGGCTTTTCCGGGAGCGCCGCTGCTGAGCCGCCGGCGAGCCTGCGGGGTGGGGAGAGCCGGGCGGCGGGGCACCTCCGGCCGGCGGCTGTTCCGGGCCTCTGGTGGGTGGGCGCTGGCCCCGAGGGCTGCCCGCGAGACCCCCGCCCCAGCGGAAACGGTGGCCGGCCGGAGCGCCTCCCCGCCCCGCTCCGATCTCCTTTTAAGGGCCGCCCGCTGGCGCTGCCCGCCCAGGCCGCGGAGGAGGGAGGGAGAGGCTGGGCGCTGCCTCCCGCCACCGCTTCCCTCCCTCGCTTCCTCCCTTCCTGGCAGGGACGACCATGGCTTCAGCCCCCTGCACTGGGCTTGCCGCGAAGGGCGCTCCAGCGTGGTGGACATGCTGGTCATGCGCGGCGCCCGCATCAATGTCATGAACCGGGGAGACGACACCCCCTTGCACCTGGCCGCCAGCCACGGGCACCGCGACATCGTCCAGAAGGTGGGATGCCGGGTCAGAGGGGGGGGGGGGCAGGTGCTGCTGCTGCTGCAGCGGTCCTGATGCCCTGACTCTCCATTCTCTCCCGGTGCAGCTGATCCAGTTCAAGGCAGACATCAATGCCGCCAACGAGCATGGCAACACCCCTCTCCATTACGCCTGTTTCTGGGCCCAAGAGCAGGTGGCAGAGGTGTGTGTGGGCTTCCAGGGGGCTGTAGTCATCTGGGCCTGGCCCTAGTCCCTGGTCGCTTGGGCTGCAAATAGGGGCCGTCTCCTTGCCTCACTTTCCCTCCCTGTTGCTGCCAGGACCTGGTGGCCAGCGGGGCGCTAGTCAGCATCTGCAACAAATATGGAGAGACGCCCCTGGACAAGGCAAAGGAGCCCCTGCGGGATACATTGAGAGGTGCGCCCCTCTTCTAGCCGACCTCTGACTTCTTTCTTCTGCTGCTGCTCTTTGGTGGGAGGGGCAGAGTTAGCCTCAGGACCTGCCCTGCTATTACCTGGCAGGCAGGCACCAAAAGTGGTTCTTTTCCTTGTGGCCCCTTGTGTGAAGCAAGTCACCAGGCTGCCTCGAAATTCAGGCAACCCAAGTTTGGTGTGGAGCTTGAGTTGGAACCAGGAATGTCTAACGGGGATGGCACGTCTCCCTTGGCATGTTTGGAGAGGCCAGGGCTGAAGACGATGCCTTCTCAGGCATTGAGGGAGGTGGTCGACCTGATGGAGAGCTGCCTGCCCTCCCAGACACAGGAGAGGATCAGCTGCTGACATGCAGTGATGCAGATAGGCAGCAGATCCCCTCTGAGGAGGAACAGCTGCCTCCCCCTCTCGATCCGAGGGCATCGAGAGCGCAGCTCAGAGAAATGTCTATGGAGATTCTCTGTCATCCAGGTCATGGTTGTCCCAAAGAAGCAGATGGACTTTCTTTGAAAATGTTTCGCTTCTCATCCAAGAAGCTTATTCAGTTCTTTAGAACTTCAGAAGTGAAGAAACTTCTTGGATGAAAAACATCTTCAAAGAAAAACCAGAAAGTCTAGTTGCCTCTTGGAAAAAGCACCTTTGGGACAACCACGACCTGGATGACTGAGAATCTTCTTAGACAAGTAATTTGTGCTAAATAAAAATAATTTATTAAGGAGAGAGATCTAAATGTCCTAGTGGACCACCGAGCCAGCAATGTGTTGTAGCTGCCAAAATAGCCAATGCAATCCTGGGACAGTGTCGAGAGAAGTGCTAGTACTGCTTTATACTGCAGTGACAAGGAATACTGTGTCCAATTCTGAGATTCTGAGGCTTAGAAAACATGCAGAGATGAGCAACAACGATGAGTCTCGAGGTACAATGAACCTTGTAGGGGAGATGGGCGGCATAGAAAATAAAATAAATAAATAATATAGGTTATGTCTAGCCTATTGAAGAAGATTGGGGGGACAGGAGGACTCTCTTCCAGGGCTTGAGAGGTCACCACAGAGACGAGGGGACTGACTTGTTCTCCAAAGCATCTGAAGGCAGGACAAGAAGCGACACGTAGAGATGCTTATTAAAGGGGCAAATTTTCTGACACAGAGAACAATTATTCAATGGAACAGCTTCCCTCCCAGGGCTGTGGGTGCTCCATCGCTGGAGGTTTGACCAGGATTGTATAAGGTCTCCTGCCTTGAGCAAGGGGTTGGACTGTAAGACCTCTGAGTTCCCTTCCAGCTGTAGGAGTCTGTCTTCCATGTTTGTTCCACGTGGTCCTAAAGCAAAAACTGGGTTTCCCAAAAACCCCAGAATTCTTTCAATCCATCTATGTGTTTGCTGCCAAACCCACCCACCCCCCGCCACCAGTTTCCTTGGGTAAATTTGGGGAGGGATGATGGAAGGAATGCCCAGAAAAGGGAACGGGGATCAAGCCTCCTTTCCTGCGATGCTGCTCTCTGGCTTCCCTGACCGCTCCCTCTGCTCTTCTAGAGCGTGCAGAGAAGTCCGGTCAAAGCCTGACCCGCCTCCCCTACAAAGACACGTTTTGGAAAGGCACCACGCGGACTCGACCACGTAAGAGATGGCTTTCCAGAGGGAGGCAAGGGGGCTTCTGGGCCAGAACAGGAGGGTGGGGGGAATCCTGACCCTCTCCTCTGGCCTTTCTCCTTTCCTAGGTAACGGGACCCTGAACAAGCTGGCAGGGATTGACTTTCGGCAGCTGAGCCTGGGTCACAAACTCAACGAGAACCAGTCCGGAGAGGTGCTGCTCCCAGCTCCCCTGCCCTGCCCTCCCCCGGTACAAATGGGGAGGGGGTCCCCCATTCCTGGCTCTACCAGGTGCCCTGACCCCTCCACTTCCCTGCAGCTCTGGAAGGGGCGCTGGCAGGGGAACGACATTGTCATCAAGGTCCTCAAGATCCGCGACTGGACAACCCGGAAGAGCCGGGACTTCAACGAGGAGTACCCCAAGCTCAGGTGAACAGGGCTGGGTGGTCTCTGCCCTGCCCCTTCAGCAGCATCCGGGCCTGTCTTTGGAGGTGTCAAAGCTGACCTGTCTCTTTCCCCACAGGATTTTCTCCCACCCAAATGTGCTGCCAGTGCTGGGTGCCTGCCAGTCGCCACCCGCTCCGCACCCCATCATCATCACCCACTGGATGCCCTACGGCTCCCTTTACAATGTACTGCACGAAGGCACTAGTGAGTCTTGCCACTGGGTGTGATGGGGCCTCCTTACAACCCAGCAAAGGGGTGGGTGGGTAGCAAAGGTCCCAAAGTCACTGACCGGCTGCATGAAATCATTGGCCATTTTGCACCAGGCCGTTCTCAAAACATGCTCCAAGTTGAGACCGAGTCATGTTTTATGGAAGCTGTGGACTGGCCATGTGAAAGTATATCATGCGACCTCCCCCAAATTAAAACCTGAAGTATTTGTTTGACCCCATGGGGGGGGGGAGGCAGTCCAGCACCTCCCTTGCAGTAGGTCTGTCAGGCGCAAGTAACCAGGAAGAGGAGTTTACTTCAAAGCACCCCAAGTTTATTCCACGCTATCTTTGCCCAAGAATCTGATCTCTTGTTGGTCAAGGCAAATTGGCACCAGATAAGAGTCAATTCACTCGTGGGAGGCAGGGGGGACCTTATTTCGACTTTATTTCTTGTGGGAGTGTAATGCGTCATCCTAATTGATGTCCTGACTGACCTGGCCCTCGGACTCTGCTTGGTCATCCCTGCAGATCTTCAGTGGGCTTCTTTGGAGGGCCTGTAGGCAGCCCCTCTCTGGGGCTGGAAAGTCCCTGCTCCCCCTGGAGGCTGGATCTGGACATGGGTCCCTTGCAAGTGTTTTTCCTTCCTCCTCTGCAGCCCTGGGATGTAGCCCCACTGCACCGGCAGCCCCAATTTCTCGCGGTGCAAAGTGATCCTGCTGGCTTACTAGAAAGCATTTCCACAGACTCACCGAATTATAGACAGGCAGGCAGATTCTAATAAAACTTTAACAAGATGGGAAGGTTAAGAGCAGCTTGGCAGCAGAGCCAATGCGCCCCGGTGGGGGGAGGGGGAATATCTCTCGTTTCCATCTCATAATTTCCCTTTTGCCCAAGATGACCGTCCTCGGTCCCTGATGCCCTTCCTGCCTTCTCTCCAGATTTTGTGGTAGACCAAACGCAGGCAGTGAAATTTGCCCTGGATGTCTCAAGGGGAATGGCCTTCCTGCACACCTTGGAACCTCTCCTCCCTCGCCACTATCTCAACAGTCGTGGCATCATGGTCAGTTGGGGGCAGGCAGGGAGGTTGGTGCACTGGGCAGAGCAGACCCGGGGCACAGCCTCACCCATCTCTTCCCCGGAACAGATAGACGAGGACATGACGGCCAGGATTGGCATGGCAGATGTGAAGTTTTCCTTCCAGTGCCCGGGCAGGATGTATGCCCCAGCTTGGGTGGCACCAGAAGGTGAGTGGAGTTGGGGGGCAAGTGCTCCTCTGCTTCCCCAGCAGAGCACATCCACAGCTTCTCCCAGACAACCCTCTTCCTCCTCACAGCTCTACAGAAGAAGGCCGAGGAGATTAACCGGCGTTCGGCAGACATGTGGAGTTTTGCGGTGCTCCTGTGGGAACTGGTGACCCGGGAAGTGCCATTCGCTGACCTCTCCAACATGGAGATTGGCATGAAGGTAAGCTTTGCCAGAACAACAAAAGGGTTCTGCCAGGCTGTCCAGTGGGTGCCAGCAACATTCTGGTGTCTCTTTGCAGGTTGCCTTGGAGGGGCTGCGACCCACCATCCCCCCCGGCATCTCCCCTCATATTTGCAAGCTGATGAAGATCTGCATGAACGAAGACCCTGCCAAGCGTCCCAAATTTGACATGATTGTCCCTATTCTTGAAAAGATGCAGGAGAAGTGAGGGGCCCGTCCGGCAGCCACTGGCCGGCCCTAAGTGCCTTCAGGAAGAGTCAAGGGCCAGAGCGAGGACTCCCTGCACACGGTACAGATCGAGGGGGCCGCCTGCCAAGGGCAGGCTCCAGAAGGGGGCTGCTCGGCCTTGCACTCTCCCTGCTGCCTTCACGCCCCGTATCTCTGGCCACCTCTTGTGCCAAGACCACCCTGCACTCCCACCTGGCTGTGCTACAGTTTTTATCTTTTCTACACAGGCCCAGGACAAAGCCCCCTGTGGCCCAAATAAACAGCTGTCACTGAAGCAGGCGGGCCTTTTGTGCTGCTTCCATGGGGAGGGAATCCAGGCTGCCTCTGAACCACAGAATGGGGAAACACATTTGCAAGGGCGGCAGCCTGTGTTCTGTGTGGCCATGATCCTTTTGCCACAGAGATGCTCCTGGCATGCAAGGAGCACCTTTCCCCCCACCAACAGGTACCTGGGAAGAGTCACCTCCTGGCTTCTGTGCCAGAACAAAAAGATGACGGATTTTTTTGGGGGGGGGGGTGGTGGTGATACCACAGGAGGAATACCACAGCAGTAGCAGAGCACCCAACGCCAGAACCATGCATGGCAGCAGGGGGTCCTGACAGTAACCAAAGCAAGAGATGGGGACCAGAGAGACTTTAATAAAGAATGGGGGAGAGGGAGGGGCTTTCAGGTGAAATAATGGGGTTTCTTGACGTTGATGCCATACTCGGCCAGCGCAGGGGCCAGATCCTCCATGGTCAGCGTGTGCTTCTTGTCCTGCCAGAAGGAGAGGCAGCAGCAGCCGAGAGGTCAGAGCCCCCTCCCCAAAGCGTCCACCGCCCCCTCCCCACCCACCTTGCTCTTGTTGCGGGAGCTGCAGGAGGCCGTGCCCTTCATCTTGCAGTGCTGCAGGGCGTCGTTGGCCACGTCCGAGATGAACTTCTGGGCCGCCAAAGAGACCAGCCGGATGCTGCAGGGAGGGAGGGAGGGAGGGAGGGTTGGCTCGGTTCGGGCGGGCTCCCCCGAAGGCCCCCGGAGCCCCGCTACACTCACATGCGCGGGTCCGACGCCTCGAAGCCGGCGCGGTTCAGGTAGTATCCGGTCACGGCGTCCGGGATCTGCAAGAGCGGGGCAAAGTCAGGCGTGGAACGGGCCGCGACGCCCGCCCTCCCTCCCGCCCGGGACCCACCGTGGGCGTGTAGTCCTCCAGCTGCAGCAGGAAGTCCACGAGCGGCGCGCCGGACGAAGCCGAGCCGGGCGGAGGGGCGGCGGCGGCGGCGGGCTTGGCGTCCCCATTGGCGGCGCCCGCGGGCGGCGCAAAGACTCCGTTGGGCAGCGGCGGCGGCGGCCCCTCGACAGGCTGCGCCAGGGAGGCGGCGGCGAGGCCTGCGGGGGGCGACGCGTGAGAGCGGCCGGGCGGCGGGGGCCCCCTCCCTGCCCCGCCCGCCCCGCCCCGCCACTCACCGGCCGCCCCCCCGGCCGCCCCCGCCACGCCCGGGCTGCCCTTGGCGCCCGAGTCCCCGGCGGAGGCGGCGGGGGGCGGCGGGGGCGGGAGGGCCGCGGGCGCCGCTGGGCTGGGGTCGGGCTCCGCGACCCCCCCTCCCGTGCCGCTTCCCCCGCCGCCGCCGCCGCCGCCCGCCGCTGCTGCTACCGCCCGCCCCGCTGCCGCTCATGGATCCGGCGAGCTCCGGCGGGGACGGCGGCGCTTTCTGCGCAGGCGCGCCGACTCCCCCCCGGAAGCAGGACTGACGTGGCTCCTCCCCTCCGGCGCGCCGCTCAAGGGGCGGGGGGCGGGGGGCGGGGTTTGGTTCGGGCAGGAGTTCCGGCTGCGGGGCGCGGGTCTTGCGCGGGGAAGGGTCCCCCTTTGCTCCCTGGAGACGGGCCCCGTGGAGGGAAAGGCGTTCCGCCCGCGGGGCTCCCTCTTTGGGGCCAGGCCGATGCTTTGCCCCCCAGCCGAACCCCTGGCCCCGCAGCCCCCGGAGGGAGATCATAGAAGCCGCGCCTGGAGGGAAGCCTCCTGGACTCAGGATGGCAGCCCTCGCCTCGAGGCAGTCTTGCTGGCAGGCCAGGGGCAAACGTTTCTCAGGCGATTCCCTCAAGGCCGGAGACGGGGCAGCGGAGTCCCCGCCTTCCTCGGCCTGCCCCGATGGACAGAGTCTCGCCAAACAAAAACCTGCGTGAACTCAATCCGTGAAGGCCGATGGCGAGGGATTCTAGGTGTGGCGACCCTGCAGATCTTCTCGCAGCCCGTCCCGGGATTGCACCGTCTCTTCCTCCGGGTCTCCCTCCCCCGCGCTGCTTTCCATCCCATCTGCCATCGACTACATCTCGATTTCGGCACAGCTTTTCGCCAAGTACCCCGTAATAAAATATGGACCGGATGGCACCTTCAGACATGGGTGACTTAAAAATGGTTTCCCATGACCTCTCATCAAATTGAGAAAATATTTGAGAGTCGAGTGCCCAAAGGATCAATAGGGGTCCTTTATTTTTCAGTATTTTTATTAATCGTTTTGGAGAAAATACTATTCAAATCTGTATATGACACAAAATCTGTACATGATACTAAAAAAAGTATAATTGCACTCAACAATGAACTAAAGGGCCACCATTAGTGAGCTGTTGGACAGCATTACTTGGTCTGTTGTGTGGGATGTTTGGGTGGTTCCTACAATCTGCAGCTTCTCAAGATTTTGAGAAATAACCATTTCAGTTTCTTCTCCTTTATGTGATCTGCTTAGTTCTTGGTAACATATTTTAGGATTCAAGAGAACTTGGAAGGACAAAGGATTATTTGGGGGGGTGGGGAGGGCGCTGGAAACCAAGACAGACTAACAAGAATGGAAATGAGGGGGCCTTGGTGCTCCAAGCTTGGTTGTTTCCTTGCCGACATTTCCTGATCATAGTAGGTAACATCATCAGTGCTGGAAGGAAGGGGGGCTTGCTCTCATGTTATGCAATAGACTAGTGGCTTTCCGTGTCATTGCTGGCAGGAGCGGTCTTCGCCTGTGGAAAAGCTTAGCCTGAAAAGAGTCAGCAGGAGAGAAGAGATCGTCCTCCTCTGGGCATTTCAGAGTTTCAGGATGCCCTTTATTCCAGTGTGTAGAACACAAAACCATGGATTTAAGTTGCAGGAAGGCAGATGACGACAGTGGAATTTGCTTTCAGGGGGGCGGGTGGGGGATTGATGGTCAAGCTGAGTCCGAGAAGGCTCGTATCTTAATTTCTGCCATGATCAGGGCTTGGACTTGACAGCTTCAACAGCCCTACCTGACCTGGGGTTTGGGACAATTGCTTTATGGTGGACCAGGACAACTCCTTGTGCCAAATATTGCTGTGCGATCTGAAACATCCTTGCCCAGTCCCAAGGCTTCTAGATGGACAGAGACTGGCTGCAGTGCCGGGAGTCCAATGGGAAGCTGGCGGTTGGGGCACTTGGCAACATATTTCACACCTGAAATAGGATTCTGGGATTCTGCATTCAAAGCACTTTGCACAACACTAACCCCTCCACCCCACAACCCCAGGGTTGCATGGCTGGCAGTGGCTGGCCTTTGGGCATTGATTAGTCCCCCTGACAGAAGACCCCTCTGCCACAGTTCTCACTTGGAAAAGAGGAACCCCCTTGGGGCATGGCCCCCCATGTGCCACTGTAGCCTCCCAGTCACCCACACACCGTCCATTCCCTCTGTTGTGCCCCGTCAGCGGCCTGTGCAGATTGTAGCTGATTCCGACAGTGAGGAGGCTGGTGTGGTGCTGCACCAGCAGCCTGTGCAGCTGGCGCTCGAGTCAGACAGTGAGGAGGCTGGAGAAGCTGTGGTGGCAGAGGCAGGGATTCAGCCAGGGCCTTCAGAATCTCCAGAAGCTCCTTTAAGTGAAGAGGAGGAACCTTTCCTCAATGCACAGGCGCGCAGAGCTGCCAAAAGGCAGGAGTGGCTCCTCAGGAGGAGGTCTCCTCGAAAGTAAGGCTTGGGGCTAATTGGCCACTCCCTTAGCCTAGTTAAGGAGGAACACCGACTGAAGCAAACTGTAGGGAACAACTTTAGTTCACTCTCCTTCGCATCTGGATCCTCTGCAAAATTGCTTCTGGGCTTTCTGCCAACACTAGTAAGACTAATTACTTTATCTTAGAATTCTTGTAGGCTGTTAAAACAGTTTATTAACAGCCTTTGGTTGAAAAAGACTTGAGTTCTTTGAGTAAAATAAGCTTTGTATAGATTTTGTGTGTGCTGCGTTCTTTGGGGTCCGTAGCTGGGGTAGAACACCCTCTTCCCATCCTGATTGCAAAGCTGGTCACCAGCAAGGCCCATGCCATGGCATGCTAGCCCAGGAGGCCACGCAGCAGCTGAGGGAAGTTGGGGGTCCCCCAGCCTGTGACGGGGTCCCAAGCAGGGGCAGCACAGAAGCCCTGGCCTTGCACAGCAGCATCCAGACAGGACAGATGGCATCCGTGGATCACCTAGGGGGAAGCAGAGGAAGCGGGGCTTTTACCACATACCCAATAATCAGGATCCCGCTCAGCCAAGCCCGTTCCTCTTTCTATAGTTGCCATGCCCGACAGCAAGATCACAGGCTGCCCCTCCCGCCAGGGATCGGCTTCCCAAGCTTCCCCCAGGTTGCGAACTGCACCCCCTGGCACTCACGTCATAGAGGGCAGTGCTGTTCCCTCTTTCCTGGAGCCGGTACAGGGCAGGGTTGAGGAAGCCCAGGGCGGGCAGCCTTCGCTGGAGGCGCCAGTCATTGATCAGGGCAATGATGCCCCCCACCACGGGAGTGGAGGCCTGCAATGGAGGGAAGCAGGAAGGTCACCAGGGGCCAGCAGGCTCCCCAGACCAGCAAAAAGGCAGCCGAGACTCTGGGAGAAGGCCGGCAGGGAGGGCCACATACGCACAGAGGTGCCCGAGACCCAGGGCACGGGGATGTGGTTGGTCACCACCCAGTAGTTGTCTGAGAGGGCTGCCAAATCCGGGTAAGCTCTGCCTGTGCTGTTGTAGTAGCTGGCGGGGGGCAGATGAGGCGACGTGCTCAGGAAACGCTTCACAGCGGTTACCTGTGGGCAGGAAAGGGGGCAGCCTGTCAACTGCTCCTCCAGCACACTGCCTCCCTCCTGCCCCAAAAGCACCTCTGCACCAGCCCCACCATCTCTATGGGCCACTTCCCAGCCACAGTGTTGTGGTCCGCCAGCAGCCTGCGGAGCTGGCAACGGTGTCAGACAGCAATGAGGCTGAGGAAGAACATGGGCCAGTCCTGGAGTCTGGGGAAGGCCTGGATGAGGGCTCTGCATCGGAGGCAGAGATGGGGCCAGGACCATCGGGGAGTGATGTGCAGACTTTGGAGCCTCCAGAGGCTGACATAGGGAGGCAGAGGAACAGGAGAAGCCTGTTCCTAGTGCACGTATGAGAAGAGCTGCCAGAAGGCAGGAGCAGCTAAAGCAGAGAGGACGACTCGGGAGTAGGGCCAAGAGATGATTGGCCCCTCCCATAAGGCTTAAAAGACCAGCAACAGCTCTTGGAATACAACCGTTGAGAGATTTGCTTCTTGTTTGGCTGTAGTTATTTCTTCTGTTCCTGAACTGTTGTCAAGAAAAGCCTTTGGCAGTTTGCCTAATTATCTCAAGGTCAGAGATAAACTAAAGACTGGTGTTTTGAGGGCTTTGCTTTCATTTAATTTAGAATAAGCTGAGAATGAGTTAATTCTCAGCTGTTTTAATAAAATCTGTTTGTTTTTTGGAACTGTTTTGCATTTAATATCAACTACATAGGCCTGGGTCACAACATACAGCTGTTATGCTTTGCAACCAAGGGCTTCTCGCTGCTACTGCTGGGAGGGTGGGGAGGTGGGGCGGCACAGCCTCTTGGCTTACCTGGTAGTCGGGCATAGGGAAGACATTGCTGAACCCGCCTCCACTGATGTAGTCTGCCACCTCAGTGCCCACCAGGAAGGGATGCTGGAAGGCTGTGCCCCCAACGGTTGTCACATAAGGGCTGCAAAGCAGGTGAAACATTGGGTCCAAAGCAGGTGAAGCACTGGACCGTCTCCAGCTGCCCATCTCACCTGAGGCAGGAAGGGGACAGGAGCCCACCCGATGGGAGTGGGCACCAGAGATGGACGGCTGCACGACAGGCACTTGTGGGTTCCGGGACAAGGGCAGGCAAGAACCAGGCAGATCAAACTCATACTGCCCACCCCATCACTTCAGAGGAAACGGGTTGGATGCACAAAAGGTCCGAAGAGCCCCAGGGCCCTTCTCCTCACCTGGAGGCTGGGAAGCTGGGCCGGAAGAGATGCTTCCCCTCCGAAACTGCTCGGCAGCCGGCCCCAGAGTCACCTAAGGGAGGGGGTCAAAAGTGGTTGGAAAGCAGGGTGTAAGGGGAGCGGGGAGGTAGAGTCTGCCATCAATCCAACAGCCTCCTCAAGGGTGGAGCCCCCACCCCCAGCCAGTCTGGAACCCAGGCCAACCGGCAGGGCCGGGTGTTCAGGCTCTTACTGAAGGAAAGGAGGTTGGGGCAGACCTTACCCAGGAGGGCAGGCTGTGCCAAAGGGCAGAAGGCTCTTCTTCTGGATCCCGATAGTCGGAGTTCTTTGACCAATGGGATCCGAAGGAGCCCTTCTCTGCCAGCACAAGTATGAGGGCTTGTCCTAGCAGGATGAGGCGGTTCATCAGGTAGCCTGGACAGATGTGCCACTGAGGGCTTCAAAGGTCAGAAGCAACCGCCTGGAACCGCCTTGAGCTGCACTCAGAAGCAGAGTGGGAACCGGTGCAGTTCCTGGAGCAGAGGTGTAATATGGGCCATCCTAGAGGCCCCAAAGATTGTTCTCACTGTTGCACTTTGCGACAGCTGAAACTTGCCAATGGATTTCAAGGGTAGCCCCATGTACAGCGCATTGCAGGAGTCCAGAAAAGAAATTACCAGTGCTTGAGTAACTGAGCTCAGGAAGTCCTGACCCAGAAAAGGCCTCAGCTAATGCCCAAACTGGAGCTGTGCATAAGCTCTCCTGGTCACGACCATCACTTGATCTTCAAGCAGGAGACGCATGTCCAGAAGAACCCCGAGTTGCAAATTGGGTCTGGACGGGTTAGTGCAACCCCGTCCATGGCTAAGGATGACAAACAGATCCTGAAGTTCTGTGTACCCCAAACCACTCAGTCTTGCCAGGGTTGTGTGGAAGTCTGTTGCCCTCCATGCAGGTCCCCACAGCCTCCAGGCATTGTGAGAGGGCACAAACCGCATCACTCAGGTCCCCAATGTTTAGAGATGCGCAGCGGAGTCTCATCAGCCTATCTCAACCCCAGGTGATGGATGGTCTCATCCAACAGCCTCGTACAGATGTTGAGCAGGTCAGGAGAGAGTACCGGGCCCCATGGGACACTACAAGTGAGAAGTCAGAGGGCTGGACCTCGCACTTCCTATCAACACCAATTGGGATCGACCTTGGAGAAAGGAGCTGATACTGGCGCAAAACTCTCTGGCCAGCCCCAACTCACATAGTTGGCCCAAAAGGATACCATAGTCAACAGTACTGAAGGCCACTGAGTCAAGTCAAGGTCACTGCCTGACCCCACTCCCACCAGAGATCATCCATGAGTGCAACCAAAGCGGTCTCTGTCCTATAGCTGGGCCTGAATCCTGGCTGAAAGGGGTCCAGGAAATCTGTTTCATCCAGGACCCCTGGAGCTGCCAAGCAGCCACCTTTTCCACTGCCTTCCTCAAAAAGAAAGATGGGAGACTGGGAGGAAGTTGTCCAGGCAGGCGGGATTGAATGATGGCTTTTTAAGAAAGACAAACCAGGATCAAGGAAGTGGGAGAGAAGGGGCCTGCTAGAAGCTCTCCCCTGGTCAGGGCTTGCCACCCACTTCTTGCCTTGGCACGGCTGCCCTGGCTGCCCTGCTTGCCGGCCTCCAGTGGCATCTGTGCATGGGACTAGCGACCCTTTGCTCTCAACCTCGGAGGGGGTGGGCTGCACGTACCTGAGGCAAAGAGGATGCTCATGCCGCGGGCGGCGGCCTTCATGAACTCTGTGTTTACCCGCTTCATATAGGCCTGAGAGAGGCTGTCCTCATCGTCCCCATAGCTGACTGTGTGGACCCACGGCAGCCCACTGGTGTTGCTGAGCAGAAGCAGCCACTGCAGGAAGGGCTCTTGGCTCTCGTGGCGACCTGGCAAGAGGAGGTGGTGGAGGAGCCACCTTTCGGCCAGGCAACCCGCCCCAACTCCACAAAGCCCTTTCCCCACAGCCTCTGTCCCCCTCGGGCCCCTGCACACAGGTGAGCCCAAACAGACCAGACCCCCGCTGCACCTTCTCTGGCCGGCCCACCCCCCCAGCAGCAGTGGCAGGAGACCCGGCCACCATCATCTGGCAGGTGCTCACTGGTATTCCCAGCTGGGCAACAGAGCCATACCTGGTCGAGGACAGGAGAGAATACCTGCATTGCTGAAGACCCAGGTGGAAATGTTGGCACCCGTGCTCATGAGGTACTCCACGTCCAGGCTGGCCTCCAAGCCAGCTGAGCCAGAGCCCTGGGGCCCAATGACTTGGTCAACCCGGGAGTGGTGGGGGAACGTGCTGCCGAAGAGCTGCATGAACTCAGCCAAGTCGGCCTGGTGGAAATATTGCTCCAGGAACTGGCAGGGAAGAAACCACAGAGCTCAGAGGCTGCCCTCCAGCAGAGCCGAGATGAGCACACCAGGCACGGAGACAGCCAAGCCTGGTCTGAGATGAGCCTGCCAGCCCCCTGCCCTCCAAATGCCGAGCAGAAGGGCTGGGCCCCTACCTGGGCACAGGCCTGGCTGTTGTGCGAGAAGTTGCCCGCATCCACGTGGGTCAGGTTGTATCGCTGGCGGAGCACAGCTGGTGTCACGCCCAGATGGAAACTGGACCGCCCATCCCCTCCTGGTGGTGACTTCTCTGCAGCCCAGGCCCGGCTCACCACCTTCCGTTCGGCTGGGAAACGGTGCAACCCCCCCACTTAGAAGGGGCAAAAAGAGAAAGGGAGGTCATTGTCACCTACAGCGATGAGGCCCGCCCAGCAAAAGATCAGGAGACTTGGCCGCCTCAGTCCCTCCCCACCAAAGCCCCCCTACCAAAATCCACGTGGTCCGCTAGCTCCTGATCAAGCAGGTAAGGCAGAGGGGACCTTATGACCCTGCGAGCATCCTTTGCATAACGGTGGAACTGAGCTCCTGGGAGCAGCCGCTCAGCAGTGCTGCAGACAGAAATCCAGAGCTCAGCCATGGCCCCACTCCCCCTATCTTTTTGCAGGCTGGCCAGCCGACCTCCCCAGACATGGCCCAACTCACCTGGCTGGCACCGAGCACTGCAGGAAGTCCAGGGTGCTGACTCTCTGGCAATCCCGAACCCCATGAGCCGCCAGCCACTTGTCCACGCTGCGCAGCGTCAGAAGAGAGGGGGAGACGAAGGTGCGCACTTCTTCCAGGGAGAGGAAGTGCCCTGGGCAAAGGGTTGGGAGAAGGGACAGACCTTCAGCGGGTGGTCCTGTCCATCAGGACCCACAGAAGGTTTGGGAGGGGGCTGGTTGTGCTGCGCTCCTCTGCTCCTCATCCTCCCCTCCAGGGAGCTCTTCCAGGTGACCAGTCACCGTAGGGCAGCAGAGACCAGTGCCCCCTGTGGAAGGGCTTATCCAAGGCTGATCTGGCCTCTAAAATCCCCACCGTCCCTCCCACCCCCTTGCAGAAAGAACCCCCAATGACCCCATCCCCAGGGAAGAAGAGGCGTAGACGGCGGCTGGGTGGTCGAGCCTCCTCAACTAGACCTTCCCTCCCGCCTCTAGGATCCCCGGCTACCGGGCTGGAAGGCGGACCTGGGCCCCCCAAAAATGGGGGAGGGGGTAGAGCCGGTACCGTAGTCGGGCGAGTCGGGCGAGGAGACATGGCGCACCAGCTCGCTCAGCCGCTCCACGTTCCGCTGCCGAAGCGCAAAAGTCAGGCTCAGCTGCTCGGCGGGGGCCACGCGGCCCAGAGAGGTCCACCCGTCAGGGATCCTGGGAGGAGACAGAGGCGGTCACGGGCCGGGAAGGATCTAGTCCCGGTGTGACCGGACCGGCCTGAAGCCCACAGACCCACCCAGCTTCACCCTCGAGCTTCTCGCTCACCGGAAGGGCTGGTCCGGCTCCGGAGGCCGGGCGGTGGCTGCGCTGGAGCGGAGGAAGGCTGGCGAGAGCAGCAGCAGCAGCAGCAGCGGCGGCGGCAAGTGGGATCGCCCGGACGGGGCGGGACTGGGCGGCGGAGGGGGATCCAGCGTCCGCCCCCTCCGGCCGGCCGCCGCTCTCGCTTCTTCCCGGAGCTCCGACCGCGCCATCCCCACCGAAGCTGCTCAGAGTCAGGCGCCAGCTGTCAGCTGACAGAGGGGGAGGGGGCGGAGATTGGCGGCCCTTTGCGCGTGCTCAGAGGCTGCGCCGAGGCTCCGGCTCCGGCCGTCGGCTGGCGCTGGCGCTGGGGCTTGCGGCGAGGCGCGTGTCTTTGGAGAGCCGTCGGGGCGGCTCCCTCTCCGCTTCTGGAGCGATCGCTCGGCCGGGACTCTCCTTCCGCAGTTGCGGTTCTCCCCTTCGGACAGCAGCGGCGATGGAGTCCCCCGCGTCCCGCCTTCTGGCCTTCCGGCGGGGGGGGGTGGCGGTATGGGGTGCCAATTCATTCCAGGGAAGAGCGAGCCCGGAGAAAGTGGGTAGGGTGGTCCTGGGAGGCTCGGTGCCTCCCTCGGCGGCTCCTGCGTAGGGCTGGGATGGCGTGGCGGCCTGGCTCGGGACTGCCGGTCACCAAGCCGCCCTCCCACGCCTTGTCTAGCTCTTCTCCGTTGAGCTTCTCCACAAAGCGGGAGCTTCATTTATTCCTAGGGTTCACTTCCATCCGCAGCCCAGCTACCAACTACAGAATACCTTGGAGGTCATCTATTCTAGCCCAATTCCCTGCTCGAGCAGGAGACCCTCTACCATTCTGGAGAAATAGCCTCTTGCCAGCCTCTTGTAGAAAACCTCCAGCGCTGGAGCACCCGCAGCTTCTGGAGACGAGAAGTTCCACTGGTCAATTGATCTCACTGTCAGGAAATTCCTCCTTAATTCTAGGCTTGTGCCTCTGGGCAGAGGACAGTCTCGTGAAACGGAGGAGGAGCTGTTGTCTGGCCCACCTCCCTGAACCTTGGGGGGAGGGGCAATTGTCCCTCTGCAGCAGACTGGGTCTGTGGGGGGCTCTTTCCCTGAAGAGGTTGCCTGGGCCTCTGGGGGGGCTCTTCCAGCTGGCCCATTTTTAGCCCTGATTGAGGATGAGGACACCGTTTATACCAGGTGAGAACCCATGACAAAAAGGGAAAAACCAAGTCAACGGTCTGAGAGCCACTTTGGTTTCGTGGTTAAGGCCCCAGGTTAGAGCAGGAGGCCATGAGTTCAAGTCCTGCCTCAAGCATGAAAGCCAGCTGGGTGACTGGCCAGTCTTCGGCCCACCTCACAGGATTGTTGTAGGAGAAAAAGGAGAGGGTGGATATTTTTGCTGCCTTGAGTTATTTGTAAAAATAATAAAGGCAGGATAGAAAAAAGAAAAAACAGGGAAAGGAGTATTTGAGCTCTGCGAATGAGTGTCTTTGTGTGAGAGAAATGCAGCCAAATATCAAAGGCTGTAATGGAGTAATGAATCTTGTAAGGCAGTCTCTGAGGCTGGAAAACTGGGGAGCTGGCCTGCCTGAACTGTTGCAACAGCTGTTTTGGCGGGGGTGGGGGGGGCAGAGAGAGGGAAGTCGAAAGGAAGAGGAATTGGGAGGAGCATCTCTGGGCATCTCCTTCACCCAGGACAAGGCATTCGGGTGCGTGGAGGAAAGCAACTTTGCAACATCGCTATTTTCTCCTATTTCAGGTCTGTCTAGAACAAATGTCTCCTTTTGCCAAGATGCACATGCCAGCCAGGCAAAATCCTCAAGAGTGGCCTTTGAGATTCTGCATCAGGGAAGGATTCTCATGACAAAAAGGCCTCTGCCAGCCTCGGCTTGCAGCAACCGGCCCTATTCTAGAAGAGCTTGCCAGGAAGCTGCAACGTTTTCTGTTTTTCTTTGTGATTGCGGTCAGTGTTGCTATTAATGCGCAGAAGTTTAATCATGGACTCCCAAGACTGGAGGTATCCTTGAGGCCATCAAGTCCAACCCTCTGCTTGGGGCAGAAATGATAACTGAAACACCTGCAGAGGGAGGCTGTTGATGCTTGACTGCAGTATCCCCATGAAGGGAAACGGTCTGCTTTAAGTCAGGGCTTCTGTTAAGTTACTCCTGCAGTCAGAAACCTTTTGATCACACTGAGTTGACATCTGCTTTCCTGGAACTTCAGAGACATGTCCTGCTCCCTTAAATTCTCTTTGCAGAGCTTAATTTCTAAGCCTCACTGCTCTCTCCCTCCATCCCAGTTGGTCTGAATCATTGCTAAAGTGCTGCGTCCAGATCTCCAGATTGATTTGGCTGAAATAGCTCTGAATAGCTCTGAAATAGTTCCTGAGATTTGAAGGTTATATGCAGCCTAGTATTTCCCTTGCCTTTTGGGCATCCCCATCACATCGGAGACTCATTACTCTGTCATTAGCTCCTCTTCCAAGGTCTTTTCCACAAGCAACCAAGCTAATATTTATGTTTTTGGATGTTTGCATCTGATCGGCTCTTATTTTCAGCCAAGTCCACCAATTTGTCACGGTTTTGAATATTGTTCCTCTCTTGCGAGGACCCAAGGGTGCTTTTTCAAGAAGCAATTGGACTTCCTGGTTTTTCTTTGAAGGTGTTTCACTCAGGGGTGAAATCTGAACCAGTTCGCTGGCTGCGCATGCATGCTATGTGCCAAATGTGCGCTGCGCACTAAACGCGCTCCGCACATGCGCAGTACGCATCGAAAGGAGGCTTGGGAAGATAAGTAGGACAGCGAGGGGAAGGGATCAGCTGTGGCATGTGATTTAGCTTTGGTAGAAAGCAGGAAATCCTGCTTTCTAGCAAAGCTAAACTGCGCAGCACAGCTAATCGTCAGAAATAGCGGTGTGAAGGTATCGGTAGCTTTTTTTAACTACTGGTTCCTCCTGACAGGTAACTTTTTTTTTTACTACCGGTTCCCCCGAACTGGTAGTTTTTATCACTACCGGTTCGTCCGAACTGGAGTAAACTTGTAGCATTTCACCCCTGGTTTCACTTTTCATCCAAGAAGCTTCTTCAGCTCTGACTGGATGGTTGGGAATGGAAGGATTTATGCTCCTTGCAGACAGTTGGTCATTTGCATACTTTTGGAGGGTTGTTGAGGTCACTTGGAGGTTTATCTCTTTACTCAGGGTCACTGGAGTGGTACAAATGGGTGTGGAGCCTTCTTGGAACTGCTGAAAGGACTGTGTTGTAGACCGAAGATAGATGGTGTCGTATCCCTCCCCCTCTTGCAAGGAATTAACTTTCCCTCTTTCCATTCTGTGCCATCTGATCAGCACCACCATTCCCTTTCCAGCTTCCCTATCCGTTCCAGTCGGGTTTCAGACCTGGGTACAGCACGGAAACAGCACTGGTCGCATTGATTGATGATCTCTGGAAGGCTCGGGACGGGGGTTTTTCCTCTGTCCTGGTCTTATTAGATCCCTCAGCGGCTTTTGATACCATCAACCATGGTATCATGCTGCGCCGGTTAGAGGGGTTAGGAGTGGGAGGCACCGTGTTGCGGTGGTTCTCCTCCTTTCTCTCTGACCTGTCGCAGTTTGTGTTGACGGGCCACCAGAGGTCGAACTCGAGGCACCTTGTGTGTGGGGTGCCACAAGGGTCGGTCCTCTCGCCCCTTCTGTTCAACATTTATGTAAAGCCGCTGGGTGAGATCATCCGTGGTTTTGGGGTGCAGTTCCACCAGTAAGCTGATGACACTCAGCTGTACATCTCCACCCCGGACCACCCCAATGATGCCCTTGATGTGATGTCTCGGTGTCTGGAGGCCGTGTGGATCTGGATGGGGAGAAACAGGCTCAAGCTCAACCCATCCAAGACCGAGTGGCTGTGGGTTCCCGGCATCCCGATATAGTCAGTTGGTGCCATCTCTGACTATTGGGGGCGAGTCATTGACCCCCACGGAAAGGGCTCGCAACTTAGGTGTCCTCCTGGATGCATGGCTGTCCTTAGAAGAACATGTGACAGCACATGAGAATTTGAAGATATGGCAGAAGGGTATTAATAACTTTGTCTGGGCAGGGAAGAGACCGAGAATAAAACAAAAAATAATGCAAGATATACGTGAAAGAGGAGGTCTCAAAATGCCCAATTTAAGATTATATTATGAGGCAGCTGTTCTGTCAGCAATTAGTGACTGGATGAATTCAACAGAAGAAAGAATACTGAATATTGAGGCATATGATTTGGTTTACAGTTGGCATGCTTATTATATGATAAAGTGGACAAGACTTTTAAAAGTCATATATTAAGAAATGCTTTATTGCGTGTCTGGAAAAAGTATCAGTATAAATTAAACTGTAAGTTACCAATGTGGGCACGCGATAGAGAATATAAGTGTAGAGCAAAAACAAGATGTGATTACTTATAAAGAGCTTCTTAATAAGGAAGGAGGTATGTTACAACTAAAATCTTTGAATCAATTAAGAGAAAAAAGGATAATTCAAACATGATTTCAGTATGGACAGCTGCAAGCTAGATGGAGAGAAGATCAGAAAATTGGTATCTTGCAAAATGAGGAGAACTTGGTAAAACAAATTAGAGACCAAAGTCAAATGCATATAAAAAGGTTGTATAATGCATTGGTAGAAATAGATTCAGAAACAGAGCTAAGGACTGTATGATAAAATGGGCACAAAATATTGAAGAACCAATAATGATGTGGGAAAAAATATGAGTTAGAAATGTAAAGTTTACGCAAGCCCAAAACTTAAGAGAATTTTTATAAAATGTTTTATAGATGGCATTTAGATCCTAAAAAGCTAGCCTGTATGTATCCAAATTTGCAACCTAAGTGTTGGAGATGCGATTGTGATGATGCCACATATTATCATATATGGTGGACATGTAAAAAAAATCAAGGCATTTTGGATAAAAATATAGTGGATTATCCAAAAGATTCTCAAAAAGAAGGTAAAATTTACTCCACAGTTCTTTTTGTTAGGTATAATTACAGATTGTACGGTCATAGAGACTAAATTGATTTTAAATTTAATAACAGCAGCCAGACTTTTGGTGGAGCAGTATTGGAAGAAGGAAGATTTACCTACTATTGAAGAATGGACATTAAAAGTAGTGAATTTAGCAGAGATGGGAAAAATTTCGGCATACTTGAAGGACCACTCAAATGAAAGATATATATTGGAATGGAGAAGATGGATTGACTATATTCAAAACAAATATCGGACTAAAAAGTTTC